TCTCGCTCGGGGCTCAGTCGGCAGCAGCAGCGGGCTGAGGGGCCGGGAGCGTTTTGCTGCTGGAGAACTCGCACGACAGCGGTGCTTCTGCTCCAAGGTCTGCTCAAGATGCTGTGCCTGCTCTCCATCTTCTGCCTGTACAAGCTTTTTTTTTTTTTTTCCCCCTAAAGGGATCACATTTATTTATTTTCCCTTGTCTGCGACTGCCCCATTTGAGTCGTGGATTGGTTTTATTCTCTAGTGATCTCAGGACAAAAGCAGGATTACTTCTAGTCAACAGCAACTTTGAGTGTTAGCTGAATAGCTAAATGTAATTGCTCTCTGATCTGTGGTGGTTTTGGGTCGGTTGGGGTTTTTTTAGAATTTGCTTTTCAGATGTGGGGGTGAAATTGGTGTTGCTTTCATCATCATAACCTGTCTTCTGTGTAATCTGTCCAATTATCCAAATCCAAACCTCAGGTTTAATCTCATACATCCAGACCTGCTTTGTGATACATTTCTGAGTAAAGAGATCTTCCTTAAGTTAAAAAGTAAATAGTGGGCACAACTTTCTGATTCTCTGCCTTAAACCAGAGTACACTGCAAGATGGGAGCTCTTGAATCGTTCCTGCTTGCTTCATCTTCGCCCAGCAGCCTCTTCACTCTGTTATGCCATAACCTTAAATTTGCACGTCTCCTGATGGACTACAGAGTTACCAGCACTTCTGATATACAGGAGACATCAACTAATCTGGTGATTCTTGTTTGTTCTGTGGTAGTTTCAGACACGAGTACTTGTTAATCTTCCAGCTCCTTTAGTTTTATTCCAACTTCAGTAGGCAAGGCTCATTTATTTTGTTAATTTGCCGTGAATGTACTGTTGTTTCCTGTCTGAATTGCAAACATCTCATTCAACCTGAAGATTTAATTTTGTGATTGCATGCCTGACATCTGAGGCACTGAAGGAGGGCTCAGAATTCTCCTTACCGTATGTAGATCCCGTGCAGCAGGTGTTTCCTCGGTGCAGCTGATATTTTCAAAATACATCTGCTAAATAGGGCACGCTGTTCTTTCTGCCATCTTCAGAACTTCAGAACAATCTTCCTTGGATTCGTTCAAGCCAAGGATGACTGTCTGTCTCATTCTCAGTAAGTGCATGACCTTTTTCTTTCTTTTCATCCAGTAGGAACAATACATGCGTGGCAGGTGCCGTGGCCCAGAACTGTTCACTCTTATTAGTGTTTACAAGTAACCTTCAGAGCATGGAGAGTCCTCAGCAGTCATTAAATAAGCGAGAAGTGAGAGCTCTTGGCACCTCTTGAGCTATTCTGTCCCTGCCAGCTTCAGAACCTCGGTATCTGAAGGCAAGAATTTGTACTGGAAGTGCTGGGTGGTTTTAGAGGTATCCTTACAGCTCAGGTGGAAGTCATGATAATGTTCTGATCAGAACAGTTTTTTCTGCTAATATTTCTCTTGCAAGTAGCTCTCATGCTGAGAGGCTGGAGAATGTAACGTGTGTGTGTGTGCTTACGTGTGTGGCGTTCAAAAAGCGTTTAGAATGTGAGAGGATTGCAGAGATTGAATCATTATCTCAGTTGCTGGATGGCTTTCACCCTAGGAGGATACAAATATTTTGATTATAAAGCATGTATCAGTTTGTGTTTAATGATTGATTCATGTTTAGAAGGGAGACGCTTATGGTTTATGTTTGCATTTTATACTTATTTTAATCATGCTTTGTTTTGTTTTGTTTCTTTTTTTTTTAATTGCAGCAGCTGTTGCCGGGTAAAAAGTTTTGGGAATCTGATGATTCCAGCAAAGATGGACCAAAAGGGATATTTCTGGGAGATCAGTGGAGAGACAGTGCTTGGGGAACATCAGGTAGCTCCATTATTTGTTTAATTTAGTTGGGGTTGAATACAGAAATGTGCAACAAATCTACTCAAAATTGCTGGCCAGTCTGGATGACACAGCTTTTAAAAGAATTTTTAAAAACATCTGGTTTACGTAGTAGAAAACTAATAGAAAAACTCACATTGCTTCATGATAGAGTTAAGATATCCATAGTTATAAAAAGATTGTCTAATGTGAACGTGTCTGCCCTTATGTTTGTCTGCCCTTATGTTTATTAGAGGTTGCCATTAAAATTTCAATTTAAACTTTCTCATGTATTTTCTGCCTTGGGATGGATTACTTTAAGTTTGAACAAAGATATTAGAGAACAAGATTAGTAAAAAAAAATAAAAACCCAGCCCCACAATTTTTTAAAAGAAAAATTTTGAAGAAAAAAAAAAAGTTGATTTGCCAAGAATTTTGTTCTTGGATCAGAGACTGTTCCTTATTTTGAACTTAAGTGGAGAGTGTTCAGGTTGGTTTTAGTTAAATGACAAAAAAAAAATCACATGCATGTGCTGAATTTGAAATGCTGACTTTTTTAGTTTTTATTTTCTGTGCTTTCTATATGTGATGAATCTGCTCCTTGAACACTGCTGAGTGTCTCGTGCAGTTTCCAAACGACTGTGTGGAACTGCAGCTCCAGGGGAGATGTGATTTAGAGGAACTTCACTGTTGTGTGGTGTTTTTTCCTGCCAAAAATGCCCGTTATTAGACTGAAGGTATTGGGATGGTGATAAGGGCATTTTTTATTATTTAAATTTCAAAATGGCTGTGAAAAAGGAGGAAAAAGCTTCTCAAAATCTGGTCGGCTGAGTATTGCAGTCCGGTTGGGCACCGAGGAGGTTTTGGGGAGCTGCTGCCTCCAGCTTTCCCACTCGCCTGTCTGCGGTGGGTCTCCATCGCAGCGCCTGCATCCAGTCCTCAACAGCAGTGTGTGCCTGGTTGTATTAATATAAACTGAAGTCGAGGGTGGATGAAAGGGCCGAGCCAGGCTCTGAACAGCAGCAGCTGAGAAGGAGACTTTCTCCTTTTGCTGCCTCTGTTGAGCTGGTTGCATCCACCAGACGCAGGGTAGACATCTGGAGGAGGTAACCTCCTACGCTGGCTGAGCACAGATCTCCATGAGTCAAAGCCCTTCGTCTCATCTCCTCCTTTGTTTGTTCTCAGTTAATCCTGTGCACCTTACAGCCTTTATTCCCGAGCCTGCACTGCTGTCTGTGAGCCAGGGAAGTCATAGTTTCCCCTTTTGCTCATCTGAAATGAAGAGAACAGCCATGGTCTGAGCTCAAGGTCGCTGCCCCAGAGCAAGGAGCACAGCTCGGCGGTGGGGTGTGGAAGTGTCCTTGGCCACGACACTAGTTTGTTCCATGAGCAGTGGAACTAACGGAGCCTGCTTTTCTTTAAGATGCCCTTCGCTCCACCCTTTTTCCTTTCTGGCTGTGTCCACAGTATGCACCGCAGTGCTCCCGTTATGGCTTTGGCTCTTGGCCACTCTGCCTTGAAGTTGTGGTTTGAAGGATTTGAAGCCAGTACCGCTAAAAGCAGCAGGCCTGTCTGATACAGCCCGCTCCTTTCTTCCCCCCGGTGGTACTAGTAGTTACGCAGCAGTGCGGTGAAACCTGCTGGGGAATCGATCTGGGTTAAAACTACCTTTTGTCTTTTCTTTGTTAATTTTATCCTGGAAAAGTCTCCCCAGTCCACTTCACTTTGTGGCCCCATAGATTCTTGTGCTGGCTTGAGGGAGAAGGCAGGAAAGCATTAACTGGGAGTGATGATGGAATAGAATTATTTCTCTTGACAGCTTTCACCTGCTTTGTAAGGCAAGTACAGTGTCGATATCGCTGCATGTCCCTTCCACCATCCCCTGGCAACTGCTCTTATCTGCTGCCTGTGAGTGACTCGCTGACTGTTGCCAGTCTGAGCAGGCAGGAGCAGAGTACTTCTTCCCTTCCCTCCTTGGGGATGTAAAGGCACCTCCTGCTGCCCAGCCAGAGCTCGTAAGGACTTGGAGACATCTCCCTTTAGTGCGTTCTGGTTGGGTCTCAAACCCTCATGCTGCAGAGGGGGTAAAGGGATGGAGCGGATGCAGGAGGATAGGGGATGAGGAAGAAGAAATAAAGTTCTTGTAAAGTTTTTCTTGAGGAAATAGCAGCAGAAACTCTGATCATGACATGCATATGACAGTTCATATGACCAAGAAAACAAATGTAGGCTGCTGTAACGGTAGGATGATGTTTTAAATGACAAACTAAGACTGATTGTTTTTTTCACTCTACTAATGTGAGGTTTTTGCTAAAACTAAAACCTAGAACTTTGGGGTTTTTTTTTTAATTGCAACCTTTATTTAGAGACTTAAATTTCAGAAATTTTATGATTTTAGATTTTAAATGTAGTTATTGCTTGTAGGTTTACCGATTCTAGTATTTAAAAAATGGAAAGCCATCCTTTTTGTAACGGACATCATCAGAGTCAAAATTTGGCACTTCTTAGTACAATTAAGACACTGGAGAGTACGTATTGAATGACTTGCCTCCTTTGAATAGTTGGATCTACTTATAAGAATTACACATGTTTTTGTTCCAGATCACTCTGTTTCCCAACCAATTATGGTTCAGAGAAGACCTGGTCAGGGCTTTCATGTGAATAGTGAAGTCAACTCAGTGCTTTCACCACGGTCAGAGAGTGGAGGACTTGGAGTTAGCATGGTGGAGTATGTGTTGAGCTCATCTCCTGGAGATTCCTGCCTAAGGAAAGGAGGATTTGTAAGTGTGCCTGATTCTGACATTTGAGTTCCCGTTATGTTACTTTTTCCATTTGCTGCTTGGTTTTGTTTGTTTGTTAATCCATCCCTAAAGGCAGATGTTTCTTTTATTTGCTCTTCGTTTAGCTAGCTGTCTTAAAACGGGTCGGCTAGCAGGTCAGCCATCGTTCTTGGCTGAAGGGATGCAGTATGGAAGATGGGTGTAAAGGATATGAATTCTACTGACATTCCCTGGTTCTTTGGATAAGCACACCCGCAGTGACACCCCATCTAAGCTTGTTGGGAACGTATGCAGATTTACCTGTGGTTTTTTGAATGAGCGTGTGGCTGCTTTGTTGCTGGCTAAGAACAAAAAGCTCCATGTAATGATGCTAGAAACGTAACGTAGCTACAAAAGCCACTCCAGGTGGGTGATGCTTCCAGGGGCACATCGTTTCCCATGGAGAAATGGCATTAGTCACCGTACTTCGTGGCGTGAGGATGGGAGCACAGTTGCTGCTGCCTTGAATCTGAGGATGTGGTGAGAGAGGCATAATGGAGCCCCGTCCCTGTGGTGGGGAAGAGGGGCTGCGTGTCAGCTCTTCCTCATCGGCCGAGTGCTAGATCAGGAATTGGTGGAAAACATCAAAGCGGAGTAGGCTTGTTACAGCTGGGCTGCTGTGCTTGTCTCTTCAGGGAGCTGATTTGTGGTTCCCTTCATCCATCCTCTTATTTTTGTCCCTCATTAGTGGGCACCTGATAACCCTGGTGAACCCTGAGCCTAAGAAAGGTGATTTTTAAGAAATGAACAATCAGCAGAAGGAGCCAATTTATCATCCGAACTGGGGGGTTAGAGAGGTGTCTGCTCTGGAGCATTCATATCTGGATGCCAGTTCTGAAATGAAAGCTCTCACTGATGAATATCACATTGTGTGGGTGAGAATTGGGCTCCAAATTTGTATTTATAATTGGCATTTTCAAGTCTGCTCTTTGACATTAAGGAAGCACGGTTTTATTTTCTTTAAGAAGCATCAGAAGATGATTGCTTTTAAAACAATCTTTTTTCTTTTTTTTTTTTAAATATAGGGAGGAAAAAATCCCCACCAGAGAGAATGGAAAAATTATTTAGCTGATGCAGAGTTCAAATGCCCTGTTGTGTACGGAGTACTTTTCCCTCAAATGAAGCGGAAGACAGGGTTAGAATGTCTGTCTTTGTGACAGCACCAAAGCTGTCTCTGATAAATATGTTTATATGCCCCTTACTGTTTTTTATCATAAATTATGTTGTTTTTCCTCTCCCTTTTGTTGTTCAAAACTCTGCCTCTGGCATAATCACCCTTTATTCTTCTCCCAAGTGAAATAAAACGCAGACATTAAGGGCAGGAAGGCTGCAGATGTAATACCACTCATAAAATACTCAACAGAACAGAAATCCTTTTTTTACCCTTTTTTTTTTTGCCCCCCTCTTTGTTTTCTCCCCAAAAATGTACTTTAGGATTATATGAACCAATGCTCGAGCTGCTGATTGACTTCAGTGCTGTTAAATAAGCCATACCTTGGAGCTCACTGTGCAAATCGCAGTAATGCCCCCAAAACCAAGGGGATCCTGCTCTGCTCAAATGCAGGCACTTGTGCAGTCAGTTACTGCGTCTTTGATACTGAGACAGTGACTTTTGGAGAGGCACTAATTCAGTTTATACCCCTTGCTGTCATATTTAAAAGCTCCTGAGTTAGTTCTGAAGTCCTTAAGTCCCATCTAAAAAGAGGATTTGGATAAATATTCTTTAAAATTATTTTGGGGTGGGATTTTTCGAGCCTATAGAGTCAGACCCTGAATTACTAAATGAGAGAAACCGAATACATAGATAAAATCTCTCTTGGAAGAATGAGAACTAATTCCATTATTTCTTTGATTATGATTGACTCTTTTGCTTTTTTATATTTTTATTTGTAAGAACTAATGTTTGCAAGTGACTTACTTTATTGTGACATATTTCTTTTATTTGTTACCATCTCGGAATAAGAGCAAAATTGATCTGAAAACTAAGCTTATTAAAATAATATCTCTTTTGCCTAGGGGCCAAGGGATGCAGAGAACGATGAGAATGACAAAGGGGATAAGAAAAATAAGGGCACATTTGACGGCGATAAATTAGGAGATCTGAAGGAGGAGGGGGACGTAATGGATAAAACAAATGGTTTGCCTGTGCAGAATGGAATCGACGCAGATGTCAAAGACTTCAGGTACGTGCCCTGTTAGTTGATAATTAATCAGTGTCACACTTAACGTTTTTTTGCAAGATTTTTCTTTGCTGTAGCGAAAAGCGTTGTCAGGATGCTGTACTGTGTGCAGGGAAGCACTGTGGGAAGGTGGAGGCTGACATCTGATAGCTCTCATCTGTGCAGACCTAGTTCTGTGTATTGTGATCTCGTTTCCTTTTCCCACCTGTTCCTAACCACTCTGTGTGGGATTACTGTGGAAGTACCTACTGAAGGTGTTGACTCGGCTTATATACTGGTCTAAATTAGACGTGGAGTTTTGGACTTGTTCCTTGTAGCTCTCGAGAGATGAAAGCCTTCTGAAATTGTGGCTAGTGATGTAATCAGTGTAGTTGTTTTTCTTGCCAACTTACCTCTTGCTGCGCCTCGTGTTGACATGTAGGAAAAGTGTAAAAGCAGAAGGAATGTGCTGAGGGGCACACTGCTGCCCTCAGCCCTCGCGGTGGATGAACCGTTTCCCGCTTGAGTCCAGTGCCTACGTTAAGTGGTTAGGAAACCATGGCAGCTGCTTTAGAAGGGTTTCAAGTGAGTTATAGTGCCAAAGCGTTACATGGTTAATAATTACCTAATAGCTTTATGAAAAAATAACTTTGGCATTTCTGAAATCCTGTCTTGTTATGGCTGACTTTCTCCTCAATTGAGGAGAAAAACTGAATTTTTTTACATTTGTACTGTAACAGGTCTTTGAGGTGGGAGGATTGGGGATTTTGTGGTTTTTTGTTTTTGTTTTTAAATACATAAATTGTACTGTAGAACTCATTTAGGGAACTACTTCAGACCCTCCTTTTATTTTTTTTTCCTGTTTGTCACAACATCTACAAGCAATTCTGGTGAGTTCTAGCATCTGTTGCTGTTAATGGATGCTGTGTGACATAGTGTTAAACGGACGTGCTCAGTGACCAGTATCTTTCTCTCTGTGTAGCCGCACACCTGGTAATTGCCAGAACTCTGCGAGTGAAGTAGATCTTCTGGGGCCAAACCAGAATGGATCAGAGGGCTTAGCCCAGCTGGCGAGTACTAATGGTGCCAAGCCGGTGGAGGATTTCTCCAACATCGAGTCCCAGAGCGTCCCTCTGGATCCCATGGAGCACGTTGGCATGGAGCCTCTTCAGTTTGATTATTCTGGCACTCAAGTACCTGTGGACTCGGCCGCAGCAACCGTGGGGCTCTTCGATTACAATTCCCAGCAGCAGGTAACATGTCAGCCGTTGGTCCTACCCTACCGCCCCAATTCCTTCAGGAGAGTCGTCGTGGGGTTAGCACAAGCCCAGGCTCTTGTCTTGGGGAGAGGGACGGAGGAAGACTTGGAATGGATCTCTATGCCATCTATAGAGTGCTGCATGTGTCCTCCTGGGGATCTCGATGCAGGAGAACTACTTAACATGACGATCCAAGCAGCAGTCTTAAGGACCTGTAATAAACAGCAGTTATCAACAGTACGTTTCTGTGTATTAATCATTTTTAGTAAGTTTGCATTGGAGAAGAGCTTTAAATTAGTAAAAACTGTTAAACAAAAAAAACCCAAACAAACAAACAAAACAAAAAAAACAGTCCACCCTCAAGCCCTTAAAGGTTGAACGACTGTTCAGCCTGGGTGTCGCAGCCCCGCTTGGGATCTCTGCAGTGCTGAACTGGAGCAGACTGAAGGAATAATGAGTTAAACTGGCTTGCTTGTACTTGAGCCTGGCTTAAAACCTGGGGTAAGAGTCCAATACTACAGAACTTTATCTCAGCCCAGTGGGTTGGTTTGACCTTTTCTCCCACGCGAGCGGCCCAAGCTTCTCATCCCGGAGGAGTAACACGAGTCCTTGCTTTGCTGTTGGCTTCTCTTGAATGCTGGGCCTAGATCCAACGATCAACTCGTAATCCACTCCTGTTCCTGCTAGTTTGGGTAACGATTGTAAACTTTTATTGCCTTCCTTTTGTAACTATGATAGCCCTCAAAGAAGAATAAAATCCTTTGTTGTAGCTGATTGCAAGAGTATATGACTAGCCCTGGGTTTCCTGAAATATCTGATTTTTTTTATTTTTTTTTATTTTTTTAGCAAAATAACCTGTTGGCAGTCTGTGGTGAGGAAAGGCCGTTGCCAAGTTTGTGCTAAAGGCCCACCTTCAGAGAGTTATCATAGTCCTAAAAGCAGTGTAAATATCTGAGTTACAGCTTAATCGGTTGTTTTATTATATAACATGTTTGTGAGGTGACGGATGGAAAATTTTTTTAATGATTAAACTAAATAGCTGCTGTATAGTTCAAAAAGGGAAGGGAAAAAAAAAAAGCTAGTTTCAAGTGTTTGTCTTACTCTGGTGTAGGACCTCGAATGCAAGATTTACTTTCAAGCAATGAGATGTGTGTATTTTTTTAAAAACAGTATGTTAGAGCTAAATCAGTGAACTGCTTTTTAAAGAACCGTTAAATATGGGAAAATAACTGCAGGGACGTGAAGCCTGTAATTTGCATTTTCTCAGTGTTTTCTATTGACATTAAGGCTCATTTCCAAGTTCAAGTAGTTTTTATTTGTTTCTTCCAGCCTTTAAAAAATAGGATTTAAAATTGGACAAGTCTTGCACCTGGCTAGCGGAAATAAAAACTCTCAAATGAAGGCTGACCTGGAAAGTGTGCCCATTTCAGGAGTGATTATGGCTTTCTGGCTCTGGTTGGCCCTGCAGACAGACGTGGGGTTTGGGGTTTTTTCCCTTTGTTTAAAGTGAATGGGTAATACCCATGTAGAAGTGATATCACCCCCATATAATCATGCTCAAAACTCTGCTGGGTTGCCTCTTGAAGCTGCAGTTCTCTCTCCTCTCCTTGAACGGTGAGTTTTGGTGGGGAGCAGGAGGTCCTGGCGCCCACCCAGGCGCTCTGGTGTGCCCAGCTCCTACCCAGGTCCTGCTGAGGATCCGCGTGCCAGGCTGTTGAATAAGCACTGTTATTTTAAACTTGCAGCTTTGTTGCAGTAACTGCTTACACCTCCAGCAAACGCTGACCACAGGCTTGTGTAAATGCTGTATTAAAGATAAGGATTCGCTCTTCTGCCAAACGCGACCTCTCGGTGCATGTTTATGTAGATGCACTTTTTATCTTGGCTCAGTGTCGTACCCGCTTTTCTTAATATATAATCCCAGCAGCCAGTGTTTCTTAGTGTTCGCTGTCTGCCAGTTATAGCCTGTGTGAAAGAATTCAATCTTTGGGCAGTGTAGTCTTTTCCATTCAGTAGTCAGAGGGAAACGTGTCCTGAACAAAAGGATCTCGTCTGTAAAGTGTCTGTCTCGGTCCGTTGGGAAGCTTCCTATACTCGGAAGGGATTACAGGCAAGTACAACTAAAAGCAATATTAAGAAGGGAAGGTCTTAACCATGTGTAATCTGATTAGACGTGTCAGATGTTTATATTGCAGAAGAAACTGGCTTACAGAAATCTAATCTTAAAAGGCTCCCATAACTGCGTAACACACTGTTCTGATTTCTTGGAATTCCTTCCATGAACTCCCCCACGCGTTGTAAATGATGCACGTGTGAGAGGGGAAAACAGCCTTGCTTTTCGGAATTTTTTTTGCTGAACTCCCTCGAAACTGTCAGCCGTTTGTAGGTTTTCACTCTGAATGTGGTTTCCAGTAGGCTAAAAATGCTCCACTTTTATAACTTCAACCTCACTTTGTAAATTCCAGTTAATATTCCTGTTGAAGAGGATTCTTTTCTTTTTTCCATTACTGGAGACTACAATTTAATACTGATACATAGTTTAACCGTACTTTCTTATCCAGCGGGGTTCCAAATAAGATGACAAAAAGCTGGTTTTGGAGTTCTTACTTTTTCCTCTTTATTTTTTTGGAACATAGGTGTTTGCCGTCAGCAGATGGAGACAGTGCATTGAGGCTTTAATAACTAACTAAATATGTGGAGCTGATGGTTCCCAGAGCTCGTGTGGCATAGGGGCTTACCTGGAAAAGCCTGAAATCGTGATCATATTTGTTGGCTCCGCTTCCTTGTACTTGCTACAGGCAGTATGAAATCTGCAGATGCAAAAAACTCAAGCTGTTCACGTTGAGTTTCTTCTGGGTAGATTGAGGCTGGAGTCTGGGATTGCAGGCTTGTAGAAACTGCGATTTAAAGCAGAGAGAGGTGGTGGATTTGGGTCACTGCTCGAGTGCATGGCTCAGATACCAACGTTTATCTGACCTTTCTTGGGAAGGGAGACTCCGTAAAGATTTGAGAGGAGATCTGCTGCAGGCAGAAGGAATCCAGCCCTTCCTCGTGCCTGCAGCACAGTGTGAATGCAGAACGTTTGCATGCGGGTTTAAATATTGTTTGAGGAAGTAAGTGTCACAAAGCTGGAGCTAAGTCTTTAGATTTCTTTGACTTGAAGATGCAGACAGACTCATAAGTAGCTGAAAAGACTGCCCAGCATCTCTGTTCCTTATTCTTCCCTTCTATTATACCAGGAATTTTAGGTAAAGGAGCGTCTTTCCAATCTCCCTCTTTGAGTCTTTAGGTAAGCTCTGACAGCAGCTGTCTGCAGAGCATTCTGGATGCTGTGGCTTGATTTCAGCAAAAGAAAAATGCACAAAGCTAGTGTGGGTACTTGTGTGTGTGAAAGGCAAATTTAGCAGTCATCAGCCGTGCTCACAAGAAGGGGAGAGAGCAAGCAGACAACAAGAGGAAAAATACAACAGCAGCAGGTGAAATATTCATGCTCTGAGTAGCTGTGTATTCGTTCTTTGCTAGTACTTCTAATTTAAAAATGATTTGTTGAGATGCGTTTGGGAGGTGTGGAAGCCATCGCACATGCAAACTGAGCAAAAGGAAAAATATTTTCAGAGAAGATAAGTGCTTTTTTGCCCTTAAGACTGGAAAAATGGATCCCAGGGATGCAAAACGATGAAAATTAAAAGGGTTTGGTGAAGTGTTTGCAGCTGAAGAAAGCTAAAATATTGGATTGCTGAACCCAATATGAAAGTAGATCACAAAACAGAGAATGTCTGTTCTAGACTTATCTCTGCCCAGCAGTGAAGTAGTTTAGAGGATATATATATTTATTCTGCCCCCCCATCTGCTGATGCTGATCAGTGAACAAGACGCTGCTAAAGACTTCTACAGAGCCAGTATCCCTCATTCCATTTTCTGTAGGTCACGTTGTCCATGATGTCCTTGCTTTTTTTAAACTAAAAGATGTCAGTAGAGCATCTGATCCAGCTACTGATGACTGGAGGTATATTAAAGATGATGACACCCCTTAGAAGCACTCAACTTTGTGTAAGCATGAACTACTGTTGAGTGGCACGTTTTAAAAAGAGAAAAAGTGAAAAAAGAAAAGGTGTGTTTTGCATAAAGACTGCTAGGAATGTTTTGTGGCCCTCCTGATGTTAAGCCCAGGGAGGTAATAAAGTCATTGTGAATTCGATGTGTTGCTCCATAAGCAGCATTACGATGCTCCTTGGATATATGGAGGGACCCCAGCATCTTAAGGGGTGAGCAGTCTTTGGGCACAGTTGTGACTAGGGTTTTGGCACACACAAGATCCATTCTGGATTCCCTAAGTACTGAGTTTCCACATCTTAAATCCCATACTGATCCCTTGTGTGTCTTTCTTCCTCCTTCTGAATTTGTAAAAGAGAAGAGAATAGAGGTGTACGATCATTCATCTTTTTCCATATTTTCTACCTAAACAGCGCGGTTGCTCATCCTGCTCTCAGGAGAACCAACTCCAATTTTTGTCTATTAAAAACCCCCTAATTTTCTAAATGATTCTGTACTTCTTCTTGATGGTTGTGAGTTTCTGCCAAAAATTTGGGCAGAATTATTATTGCTGCTTCTGACAGCTGAAGTAGCTCACTCGTCTTGTCTGTGAAAGGAGGGCAGAGATAATAGGTGTGAAAATTGTTTAGCGTTTAGGCCAATTTTTTTTTTCCAAGTGAGTGGAAAGAGAAAACATTTATCACAGCGGTTTGTGGAGTTGTTCACACCTCTGAAATGATCACTTTTGGAAGGAAGTGGGGATGAACATTGCTTCTGTGTAGTTTCAGAATGGCTGTTCAGCTTGTGTTATTCTTAAATGTTTTAATTAGAGCTGAGCGCTGGTTTGTTAATGGATTGATTCAGGGAGGGTTTCACTTGGGTAGAGGCATCAACTCTGGCATAGGAAGCTGGGGAAGTACGCTTAGTAAGGACTGGGATGAATGAAAAAAGAAAAACCCTACACAAAAATACCTTTTCTTTAAGGACTAATGTAATCCTCTCTTTTTTTTCCTTGTTGAGAACGACCGTTCTCGATAATGCTGCCCATTGCTCTCTAAGATGGTAGTAAGCTATAAGCTGACAAACTTAGATACTTTGGATGACTTAACCAAAAAGTCCCCGGGTCTGGTTTCTGTCTGTGGTCAAAGAAGGATTTACACTCCTCGCCTGGATTCACGTAGGAGATGCTGGAGATGGAAGGCTGGCAGGTCAAGGAGGCATTTTGTCCAGGGGTTTGTGAGCTCCTGTGGTTGGCATCCCGTCTGATGGCTCTTCAGCTGCCTCTGAAGCCATCTCAAGAGTGTTGTTTCTCCTCCGTCTGCCGTCCTGCTTGCTGCTTCAGAGCATCTGGGACAGTTACACGCTGGTGTAACTGCGATTTCACTGTGCTCAGTGGTGTTTGAGGGATCTGCCAGTGATCCCCAGGCTGCACTTAGGGGCTGTGTGTTTGCGGAGGAGCTGGGGAAAAAAATGGCTTTCAGGCACTGTGCAGAGGATAGCAGAAAAAGCCCTGGCTGTGGTTTAGCTGTGCTTCAGAAATGTATATATATAATTTTTTTTCCAGGTGGATTATCATGGGCAATTGATTTCAAAGGGGTTTGTTTTTTTTCAATTCCTTTTGAAACGCTTCCCTTTAAAGAGGAGTGTCTGTAGTTGTGAAAATAAATCTAGTATAAGGGAATTGCTTTCAGAGGAGGTAAGAGGATGCTTTTTGTGCATGAGTAAAGGACCGTATTTGTGCTTTTGTCCCTTTAGTTGTTCCAAAGACCGAATGCACTTGCTGTCCAGCAGCTAACAGCAGCGCAGCAGCAGCAGTACGCCTTGGCAGCTGCCCATCAGCCTCACATAGGTAAGTTTTGCATTTAATACATCACATTTTACTTTATCTTCAGAATACGCTGGGGAAAACATCAGGGAAAAAGGATTGGTGGGTTTTAGAGAATCCTAAATATGTTTTTTTTTTTTGCAACTGGTAATCAATACACAAACAGAGGTATGTTGTTTGAAGATTTACTTGAAAAATTCTGGAGGTGTCTCTTGCACACTTTAAAAGCTCTGGAGCATTCATGGCTGGCAGGAATGACACTCTTACCCTTGCTGAGAGTGCTGCTCAATAATGAGAGTGTTCTGAAGTACTTGCTTGCTCTGAGTGAGGCATGAATTGGGGTATGCAGACAGTGAAGAGAGAGGAAAAATGCACAATTCAATGTACACCTGAACGTGCTGCTTGTGGTTCAGCTTTTAACTTAAAGATGTAATTTATGCAAACACATGATTCATATTATTAAAACAGTATAGGTTAATGGGGAAGAAAGCACTTAATCCTGTGCATAGAAAAACAGGAGAACTGTAGAAGGGCTCCTCATGGATGATTTGAGTTAAACTGTCTCAGGATTAAATGTTTTTAACACAATAAGCAATTTAACTGGTGGCCCTTCCTACCCGAAAGCCCAATACAAATGTGTTGAGACTCTTCCAGCTCTGTGTAGTTCACTGGTGTGCTTATTGGAGTTCAGTGATAGACTCGAATTAAAAATTATTGAGCTTTTTAACTTACTCCCCTTTACCTCCTCCCCACGCCCCCTCCCACCCACCGGTAATTTCTCTAATGATTAAACTATTTCCTTGCAGAGGAAGGTAATGCCAAAGCCCAATACAAATGTGTTGAGACTCTTCCAGCTCTGTGTAGTTCACTGGTGTGCTTATTGGAGTTCAGTGATAGACTCGAATTAAAAATTATTGAGCTTTTTAACTTACTCCCCTTTACCTCCTCCCCACGCCCCCTCCCACCCACCGGTAATTTCTCTAATGATTAAACTATTTCCTTGCAGAGGAAGGTAATGCCTACGCAGCAGCGATAGTGCCCTGCGATGTTGCCTATACACTCCCGAGCTCCTTCCAAACTAATTAATTGAAGTACTGGTATTGTGTAGTGAGCACGGAACTCAAAGTAGGGTAAATTGGTTCTTGATCAACTTGCTGTAGAAAATACAGAATAGTAACAAGCAATTAGATAATGTTAATATCTAGCTGGTATTAATAATCACCTAAACAGTACGGGTGTGCCTGTGCCGCAGAGATACCTGAGCAAGTATGGGCATTGTACATAAACTATTTCACCACTTCAGCTTTCCTTATGGGGCATTGCATCCTTGGAATTAGATTTCTTCTATGTCAATTATATCCTCTGTAGGTTGTTCTGTTAAGACTCCGGGAGATGCAGTGGTTGCTCACTCCCTATCGAAAACAACCTGTTAAAAAACTTGGAAATACTACAGCAATCTGAGATTGTGCTCACCAGCCAGGTAGCCAGAGGTATTTTGGTAGGGCTTCAGTTCTAGTTAAGTTTGTTTTTACTGACAGGTATGTTTTCAGCAGGTTTAGCTCCTGCTGCCTTTGTCCCCAATCCGTACATCATCAGCGCCGCTCCGCCGGGAACAGATCCGTACGCCGCCGGACTTGCAGCAGCCGCGACGTTAGGTGAGATGCTTCCAGTTGTCTGTGTGTTCGGGATCGTTTTCTGTACCAAAACTGCTCTCGAGTCTGTGAGTGTGGAAATGAAATGTTAGTGCGTTGTCATTTCTGTGGAGATGTAATTGTGTAGCGGTGAGCTGAAACAGAATTTGTCTTGGAAACCCCATTTGCTGCAGATTAAATGTGATAATTCTTGTGTAACACTCGCTATGGGCTCTCTTTCTGTTGAGGATAAACAGCCAGAGCAAATCTGAAATGAAACACTTAGAGACATAAGCGTTGCTACGTGTTTGGTTTTTTTTTTTTTTGATAACAGACAGGAGTGAGAGATACCTTTGAAAATATACTTATTAAATGCTGGAAAGATGGAGGATGTGTTTTCCTGCCAGGATAGTTGTATCTCGTTGCTGTTTAGCTTGACTTACTGGAGTGCATCCTGCAAATGATCTCTTTGCCTTTTGCTAGAGTCTGTTAAGAATTTAGGCTTTTTAGGTTCTCTAGGCAAAAACATCCCATATCTGCTGTGAGACTCAGACTATGAATATGCAGTTTTCCAGATGGGAAGCAAAGATGATGGCTCTTGTCTTTGTGCAAGATCTTTCTCCCAAACGTTCATGCATCGGTTTCCAAATTTGTGCCAACTGTTGTAGCCAAAATTGTTGTATCTCGAGATGACAGCTCAGTAAAACAGCTTATCAGGCAGCGTGGAGAACACTTTGTACGTTGAACCTTTGCTGCGTATGCCATAAAGTTCTTGCCTAAGCATTGAGGACAAAGAATGTACTTTCAGAAAAACACTTTTATAACCGTGCTTTTCTTTCTGTGAGCCACCAGTAGAGGAAACCTTTTACGTTTTCAGTAATAATGGCTCAGTTCAGAATAGCGGTGATTTTTAGCAGAGCCTGCACGCTCTTGCCACCCTCCACTTATGACTTAATACTCACTGCAAATCTCTTCGATGTACCAGATCAAAACCATAAAACGTTGGTTGTACGTGAACATAACGCTCCGCTAAAGAGCGTTGTGGTTTGGTACGTGACTTCTTGATGTGTTGAACAGCTCTGACGTAAGTGCTGTTCAGCTTTTAAGCTTTGAGACCAATCTCAGGTCAAGCTCTGAAATGGGATTTCAACAACTTACCCAGTTGGATGGCATTTTGGATGGATCGTATGGAGTATATAAAGAATCATAGAATGGTTTGGGTTGGAAGGGACCTCAAAGATCATCCAGTTCCAACCCCCCTGCCACGAGCAGGGACACCTTCCACTACACCAGGTTGCCCGAAGCCTCATCCAACCTGGCCTTGAACACTTCCAGGGATGGGGCAGCCACAGCTTCTCTGGGCGACCTGTTCCAGTGCCTCACCACCCTCAGAGTGAAATTTTTTTTTTTCTTATATCCAATCAAGATTATAATTTGAAGATGTGAGCTTTGGACTTTTTTGGCTGCTGTGAATTTTGTATGCTGATTGCGCAATAACGATGCAAGATTAAGTTTAGGTAACAACATGTTGTTGGCAAACAAATGATGCTGTGATTAAATGGAAGAAAGCCAAGAGGTAGAGTACAAGGATATTTCTAATAGTCCAGGAGTCGATGAACTATCATGTGATGATGGATGTGTGGCAGTGAACGAATGACCTGAACTCTTGGTGGCAAATGTAAGTAGGAAGCTTCAGACAAGACTTAGCGGGGTAAAGGTGCTGGAACACTCACAATTCTGGTTACAGTCAGAAGAGATGCTTTGTAAACAAATACAATAAAAAGAGAATTCTGGTTGGCCTTTTTGCATCACATCAGCGCTTCTAAAGCTGCTGCTCGTTCTTAAGAAACACACTGAAGTTCAGCAGAGCAGGAGGTCAGTGTCTTGATTTCATAGAAAGACCACATGTAACTGCTGCCAGATTTCTAGGAAACAGCAAACGTGTTTGTGACTTTTTTTTTTCTCCTGTTTCTGAGCAGTATTGAAGCTGCAGATGCCTGAATATCCGGTCGAGGCCTTATAAATTTGAACTAGGAAATAACATACCCCAGGATACCTAAAGCATCCCAAAACTTGGCATGGGGATCTCTACTTGAATAATTTTTAAACTTTATGACTCGTGAAGGCAAAACAAAAGAATGTGTAACACTCTGCAATGTACTTAGTGTTACACCACTGAGAAATACAAATTACTTCATCCATCTCATTGGGCTTTGGACCCTAACAGCTAGAAATGACAATATAACAAACTTCCCTCCTTGCTGATGGTTGTTTTAGGAAAAGCACCTTTTCTGTCTAGACTCGAGCAGTTTTGAAAGCCTTTGCTCTGTAATGACTCGGTGCAGCACTGAAGGGGCACGAGGCAATTTAGATGTTTAGAGTCATGTATGAAGTCAGAAGGCCTCCCCGATGTGTATGGGAGTGTTAAATTGGGAAGACTTGGAGAAGTTTATGAGATGGAAGAAATGAGCTTAGAGTTGTTGGTAGTTTATTGCTCACAGTTACTTTTAGAGCGGAGGAGAAACTTGTGTGTGTTTTATGGCAGAGATAATTCTGTCAATTAAGATTCTGCCATTATGGCAGCTTTTTCATGATTGTAAGTCTGTCAGCCCTGCGATAATATTCTTTTCTTCCCAACAATAGTAGCATTTTAAAGAACAAATTTGAGTGCAGAGGGAAGGGCTTCCTAGACTCAAGAAAAAAAAAAATCACTTGTGAGTTTAAATGGTGGAGAAGATACTGCTCTCTTTAAAAAGTGTTGTGAAATTGCCTTCTATAATTTGAGAAAGATGTCACTCAAAAAAAATCCCAAACAACTGAATCTTGCCTTTTGTAAGAAAAGCTGGGAAATGTTGATTCCCTCCGAGGCGGTGTGTTACGGAAAGTGTTTCTGCTCTTTGTGGAGAAGTGGATGCTGGAATAACCTGCATACAGGAAAAAACACAGTGCTCCTAGGCTGAAGGTAGGGTTGGTCTGGATGTGTCTGCACTGTGCTTCCCGAGCTTGGGGTTCTTAGAAGCCTCATTCCCTTGGTGCTGACCTGTGTCCCACGCAGAGCCAGCTCTGAGCTGCAGACAGGTACGGATGCATGAACACATCACTCAGGACCAGGGCTCGGGGGAGCATGGGCAGCGGGCTCTTCCCAGCTGCCCCGGGCACGGTGTCGTGCAAAGGTGCCTCTCCTCTTCTGCTCCAGGCAGGGTTTGCACGGGGCTGCCCCACAGCTGGGTTGAGTTCAGCTGTTTTTCACCCCCATCCCTAAAAAAAACCCACCACTTCATGGCTGTCTGTAATGGTGAAATGATCAGCCCACAAATCGATAGGATTTGATAAACGTTCCTATTGGCAGCCTTGTGTTTTCAGACGGGAGGGTCTCGAGGCTTTTTAACCGGGTGGTTGCTGAGTCCGCATCCTTGGCAGGAGGGGCTTCTTGCAGGAAGCAGGTATGGCTTCTGCTCACAGGGGTTTGGGTGTGAAGGCTGAGGTTAAAAGCAAAAATTTTGTTCTGAACACAATTACAGATGGTTTTGCTAATGTTTCTTGCAGGAATACTTGTTGGGAGTCTGTGGCTGATGTGTGAGACGTAGTAGTGGGAATATTTGGTTTCAAAGGCACTGGAATGGCTTTTATTTTCTCATGTGTGTCTGTCTTTAATAAGTGTAAAAGCAGGTGCAATATCTCCCGAGGTAAAGAAACGCTCGGCGTGTTTTCGTAAGGCTGGCGATGATGACACACTTGCCCTCACTGAGAACACTGTTCCATAATGAGCCTCACCGTGTGTGCAAACGAGCTGAGCCAGACTTGCAGCTCCTTCAAACCCAGCTGCCTGCAAACTTCAAAGACTTTGTGTCTCTCCTTCTTTCAAACACCTAAGGCTTTTGCAGATCTGATGAGCAACCTCTAACTAGGAAAAAAACCAAACATCTAGACTATGCTTGTTCGATAATTAGAACGGAGATTAAAATAACCCGGAGAGATGCCCAAAATTTGCCCAGATAAAGGGTATTGCAGCAACTTCCCAGTAGCCTGCGGACAAATGCAAACTAATTACTTGCAGAAAATGGGGCAGTTGCAGGTATTTTGCTGTTGGGTGCAGGAGCACCCTGGCAGTTGGTGTCTGATCTGCTTTGACTGAATGTAAACAGGTTGTAATCCACCGATAAGCTGTGTGTCTGTAACTACTGAGCTCGAGATGGGCACTGCCGTTGTAGGACTGGTTCATTTTCTGCAGGTTTCATTAATTTTAGCTACCGCTGCTCGTGAATTTCCAGGTTGGAAGGTAAGAAACAAGTCGTTACTGCTCCAAGACAAATCTAAGACAGGCAAGTCACCTTCTCGGGCTGGTGGCACACAGTAAATCCAGCGAGAGTGGATTTCATGGCACAGCTTTAGTGGGAGCTACAAATCCGACTGTTGAGCGTGTGCCTGGCGATAGACAATGGGCTGCTTGTACGCAGAGCTGGACGTGTGTGTTAGTGACACTGCAAAATCTTAAATTTGGGGCAAGTACAGTGGTTAAAAACAAAATAATAAAGGAGAGTAACTGTTAAAGGAGAGTGACTTATGCTTTTGAAATATGCATTGAATATTTGACATGGAATGTGAACTGAATATCTCGAAGCGTTGCTGAGCCTCACCCAGGCTGCAGTATGGATTGCGGGAGCAGCAGTCCGTCCAGGCTGCGATCCGGACTGCTGCACAGTGGGTTGCTTTGGCATCCTGTTACTGTACAAAAGACAAAATCAAAAGGAAAAAGAACTTCCTGGATTTTTCCCCCTTTGTCGTACCCAAGCTTACACTCAGCACTGTCTTTCTGCATCTCCCTTTTTACTGTCATCCCTCATTTTTGGGGGAGTATTTTGAAAGTCTCCTGGGGCAAACACTCATAACTCCTTGCAGTGTCTCAGAGTAAGACGTAACGAACAGCAGTAATAAAGCGACTTGGTTAGAACTCAAACGCTGTCTCTCTTAAGATAGCAGCTATTTTTATTCCATTTAAGAACAAGAGTGTGGTTCAAATTCACTGAACACTTATTTATTCTACAGTGTCAAATACAGCAGTGGTTCTCTACCTTAAAAAGACCAGGCATAAGTTACTCCTGCTGTGGGGAAGGAACTCGTGGGATAGGTGATGCATTTGAAAAGCAAAGGGAATACTTCTGCTTTTCTGTTAACCTTTCCAAGCGATATAGAACAGACATATTGAAAAATATAATTGGCTGCTTAAAGAGGGCCTGTAAGGAAGATGAGGACAAACTTTTTAGCAAGGCCTGTAGCAACAGGACGAAGGGTAATGGTTTTAAGCTAAAAGAGAGAGGAGATTCAGACTAGGTACAAGGAAGAAATTTTTTACACTGAGGGTGATGAACCACTGGCCCAGGTTGCCCAGAGAGGTGGTAGATGCCCCATCCCTGGAAACCTTCAAGGTCCTGTTGGACAGGGCTCTGAGCAACCTGATCTAGTTGAAGAGGGGCAGGGGGTTGGTCTAGGTGACCTTTGAAGGTCTTTCCAACCCAAACATCCTGGGATTTTCTGATTCACATACACATTATGTGGTGGGAGGGACTCCACTGTTCAGCACAGAGCACTGGCTGCTTCCTCAGTGTTACGCCAACTAGAATTATTTAAGGAAATAGCCTACCATTCTGCTGTCACCAAATCAAGTGTGCAGTGTCCTGAGACTTGATAAAACACAATGAATCTTCAGGAGTTATGTTTTTTCTGGTGCTCTCCAAGATTTTTATTTTTTTTTAAAGCCTCTTAAGTTTGAGGAGGAGGGAATGTGAAAAGATACAGGATCATGCAGCCTCTTTTATGGCGGTTTGCAAATGCAGAGTAGGACTGAGTGGGTAGAAAAATAACATTTTAAACAGTTTAGAATTGATGTTATCCAGCTGTAAAGCATTTGGGTTTTTTTTTAATTTATTGGGGAGCTAAATGATAGCTGTTACTGAGCTGTGAATGTTAGCTGAGATTAGGAGAGACTTGTATATCTCTGTGCTTAAACAAGTTTCCTCTTTTTGTTAGAGATAAAGTTTTTGTTCCTTTGCTATAAAATTAGAGGATAACAATAAAAGCATGGAATTTCAACAGCATCACTGGTAGCAGAATTTGACCTCATCCGATAAGGTAAAAGCGAGTAAAGATGAAATTTCAGGTCTGACATAAGCTTTTTAAAAATGAAGAATCCAAATGCCAGAGTCCCTCCGTATTTGCGAAGGATTTAAAGCAGGATCACCTTGAAATGGGATTTGTTAAACCAAACATGATGAGCAGGTATTTTGGTGACTGTTTGCTGTGTAACGCTTGTCACGCTCCAGCAGCTCACCACTTCCCTTCCTTCTAGGTCCGGCGGTCGTTCCTCACCAGTACTATGGAGTTACACCCTGGGGAGTTTATCCTGCCAGTCTCTTCCAGCAACAAGCCGCCGCGGCTGCCGCTGCAACTAATTCAGCAAATCAGCAGACCACTCAGCAAACCCAGCAGGGCCAGCAGCAGGTAAGGGGTAGGATCCCTTTTGCATATCGAGCCACAGCAGCTTTGAAGAATCCTGATTTTTTTTTAATTTTTTTTTTAAAGAGCCTTTAGCCTCTCTTAAAAAAAGGAGAAGAAACACCTATACATTCTGTTATGGCATTTCTACATCATGCACGTGGGGGATAGCACACGTACGTTTGTGGTGGTGAATTATAGGGTGATAATGTTCTGGAAAACAAAAAGTGGAATCAGTTGGTGAGCTCTGCTGAGCCACGCAGCAGCAAATGCGTGCCGGTGGGGTGCAAGTGGAAATCATCATGCTGCAGTCTGGTTTCGTGCCCATTGGTGCAACTTGAAGGCTGTGGAGATGAAAATGTGTGTCCAATGCTAAATGTCATTAAACCTGTTCTTATCTTCAGGGTGCTGTCCAGTATAGAATGCTTTTTTTTTTTTTTTTGGTCAAGATTAGCGTTAAAAGGGTCAAAGTAACAGCAGAATGAGTTGGTTTGGTATCCATGTGAGGCCTTGGAGACAAAAGATGAGTGTGAAGAGAAAACTGCATTTGCTATTTTTAAGGTGAACTGTGCAGCTGTTTTGCTTTAGTCTGCACAAAATTTTGGAGAATTTGACACTAAAAGGACAAAATTAATGAAGTTAGTGAAGATTTTTCATATGTTTTGCTGTTACTCCTGTAAGTGTGTTAGAGACGAATATAGAGACAGGTGTCTTGTTTAAATGGTATTTGCATTTTTAAAAAAAGCAATGAAGGGGGCTGATAAGGGGACATTTTTCCTTACATACTTTGCAAATGGTGTGTGCTTGATGGGGTTTGCACCATCCATCTCTTCTGTCTTAATCCTTTGGCAGTGCTTGCATATTGGATTATATAGCCTGTACTTTTTCTTCTGTTGAAAATTGTTACGCATCTTTGTGATGGATCACTGTGTGATGTCTTGTCCAGTTTTGGGGTTCCCCCCTCCCCATACTTGGTATTTATCTGGGTTAATTTCCCTAACTTCAGTTAGGTAAAATCAGCATTTTAAAGCTCAGGTATTTAATCATGGTTGTACTTCTGATGCCGATGACACGAATGTGAATCTCGCAACTGCTGGAGCAGAAGGTGGAAACTGAGAGACTGCTACAAGAATTAATAGGGAACGATAATTTTCTTCCTTTACTATAACAAAAAGCCATCCTAAATGTTTTATGAAGTTGTGTGGGAGTGAAAATTCTTAGCTTGCTATTTAGATCAGTGTTTAAAAAAAAGCACCCAAACTTTCAGACTAAACTGATGGTTTCTAAATCCGAGTGCTTGGGTTAGATGTTAGAGGAATAAGAGGTGTCCCACCATCCTTGTTTTGGTTCTTGTTCTGCTTGGACAGACAGTTGGACATGCTCTATTCTTCTCCTTTCAGACCTCAGCAGGGCCCGTAGGATGGGTGTCAAGAACTGGATTTGGGCTCCTGTTATGTGGCCAGTCCTCCGGCACAACCCCAGCTCCTTTGTCTGGTGTTTGGCTAAGGGCTGGTCCTGGCCTGACTCTGGCTTTATACAGTTTCATCGGCCTCTGTCCCGCCGTACTTCCTGCTTGGAAGCAAAAATGGGCTCATTATCCTACCGACCAGCGAGGCAGCTCCTTTCTCATGGTGACACAGACCCTTCCTTTCTGGAAGCGATTCGGAGATAGCGATTATAGGAGATAGCAATTGGCAGCTGAATTTATTAGCTTCTGCTTTGAAAACTAAAGCAAAAACCTGTGTTTGGTAGTATCATAAGGCCTTTTCAGATGATAAAAGCAGTGATGTTTCACACAGTGATTCTGGACCAGTGATCAGGAGGAGAACACTTTGCTCCTGCCAAAGTTAATCATCAAACCTCCCCACCTGGCAGGTCACGGGCAGGAGCGTGTTGAACAGCCCTCCTGCACGTACCCGTGCTCACAGGTAACTCGGCGTTAAGAGTGTGTTAAAGCCATTTATGCATTGGCATTCGGACTGGGAGCCTTCCCCTGTAAGGAAGGTGTGTGCTGAGAGAGCTTCTGCAAAGGTTTAGGCTATTAAAATGAAAAATATCAGTCATCAGGAGACTTTACAGTATTTTTCATTACTTTTATAGCCGTAAAGCAGGCATGGGTGGGGACCGCGGGTGTTGTTTTCCATGCAAACCTTCCAGCCCTAAAAGGATAAGGTGTATATTTTTTTGGATGAAATTTTTCTAAGAAATGCTGGGGCAAATGTTTTGGAAACCTAGAGCGATGATTATTGACCGTTGATTTGTGATGCTTACGGCATCTTCATAGCATATTTATAAAAAAAACACCACCGTTTCACGTCCTGCAGCCGTCCATCCATCGCTGGAGTTCTGTGCACCCCTTGCACCCCTTACCAAGCAGCTCCAACCTGTGAAACTCCCTGGAATGAGCAGTTCATGTCCAGGCTTTGGCAGCGATGGCTAATTCTGGGATGCACATCTACATCGGTGAACTTCAGGATCCTCTCCCAGTATCCCAGTGCGCAAAGTCATGTATTTCTTTTTCCTTTTAATGACTTTGTCGGGTGACACAGACGGTGTTCCTTTCAGCTGAGTACCAAAGGGTGGCTTTTCTAACAAGCTGACCTCGCGAGCGGGCGCGGGCTCTGGCATCATCCCTTGGAGTGAAAGGCTTTTGCAAACAAAGGCTGTCACAGGTAATTACAGGAAAGGTCAGTTTGCCACCTTCCCTTTGGAGAGCAACGTGTGCCTAAACCACAGGAGCTACACAGAAAAGACAGTGTGTCATCTTTGGTCATTATTTCCGATGAGTAAGTGTCACGTCACTGGGTCACTGTTTTCAGCCTGGAAAAACCCGTGTCACCTCGTGTCATCGGCCCCCAGCTCTGAAGTCTGGGTTTTTAAGGTTTCAGCTCAAGTGGGCTTTCAGTGACAGAGACCAAACATTATCTGGGATGGGGCAGAGGGCCTGCAAACACTCTGACAAAGGATGAGTGTTGAAGGTACATCAAGAAACAAGAGGTCAGATGATGAAGCACTCCCAGATTATGTTCAGTAAGCCTGAGAGGGGATGTGTTATTTAAATTGGATGTTCTGCCTTTACCCGTGGTGGTAGTGTGAAGGCTCGTGGTGGTGAAGGCAGCTCAGTCCTGAGTAAAGGGAAGGGGTTGTGACACCCTGGTTGTGCAAGAACTTCAACTAGATCACTGTGGATGCTCCAGCAAGCGCCTGGTGATTGCGGCTTATTCCTGGGTCTCAAAATAACCAGGTTGATGTTCCTCTGTCTTCTCCAGGTTCTCCGCGGAGGAGCCAACCAGCGTCCTTTGACCCCAAATCAGAACCAGCAGGGCCAGCAGACCGTTGCGCCAGCCGTCAATTCTGCCCTCGCCTTTGGACAAGGGCTGGCAGCGGGGATGCCAGGTAGGGGCTCCGAGGGAGCTGCTGCTTCTCCAGTGCCCAGGGAGATCTTGGAAAATTATATCTTGTGTCTCAGCGTGGTGGCACATTTGCCTGGCATTCAGCAGCATTTTGGTTTTGTTGTTTGGTTTTTATCTGTGGGTATAGAAGGCCTTTTGGAGAGGCTGTTGGATGTGAACCCAACTATCTGTGCAGCATTTAAGTTGAGTCAGAGTTTAGATCCCTGTGCCACAGGTGAAAAGAAATGTTATCAACCATATTGCTGTACGGGTGCATTGGTTGTTTGCGTACTCAGAAGAATTCCTGACTCCTGTTGGAAGTCGCTTTCAGGTTTTTCTGTGGCTCGTGCTGGCTTATGTGATCTTTATTTTAAAACTTCAGAAATATCTTAGTCCCGTTCAGTAGCCTTGTCTTTCCAGCCCTGCCAGGTGCTTGACTTCAACAGGGTAAGGACTTCCCCTTCATAATTTCTTCCAAGCAAATACTAGTGGCTTAAAAACAAGAAAAGAAAACGGATTAAAGGAAGCCAGGTTTTATTGTAATTTATAATTCTGCAGGAGAGGAGCTTCTGTATGAATTTTAGCTCTGATCCGTGAGGCTGTGTGATACAAATGCTTTTGACATTCAGTTATACGGAATATTATTGTAATGGCAAAGGGCAAATGTAAGTATTTTTTTTATGAATAGCTGGCAAGCATGTCCTGCTGGTCAAATGTAAGAGAACAGGATGATTTTGACCTCCGGTCTCCTCGCTGGAAGAGTCGCATGGTTGTTACATGGTGATTTTTTTTATGGTTTAAGAAGAATGGTGCTGTACTAAGTTATAAAGTGAATTGTAACATGCGCGTTTCCAAGCAATCTGCACATTTCCTTAAATCCGTATTATTGGGGTTTTGGGGGTTATATTTGCAAAGCAGCTCTCCATGGACGGAGGGCATTCTGTTTGTGACCCCCACCTTGGAGAATCACTTCACTTTTTCCTGAAAGTTTTATCAAACTGCAGAATCGGTGTAGCGAGGTACCTAAATAGCTGCATACTGCTGAAAGTCTGCTTTGTGGATCAGCATATTTGATATAAGAGTTTTTATTTATATCTATTAAAGAACGCTTTATGATACATACCTTCAAAACACACAACTTTAAATTCCATGTCTTGTTTGCGTGCATGTGGATGCTGAAGAGCTTCAGCATACAGTAGGAGAGTTGGAAGCGCAGTGTGTACATGTCTGTGAAAAGTTGCAGCACGTGCCCAACTTGTAGGGGAAAAGAAATAGTGCTTTTGTGTTTTAAGACCATTTTTAATCTGTGTAACTGAATTTACACAGAGGGCAATGCTAGTGTAGTAGGTTTGGGGGGAAAAAAGTATTCTCTACCTGAAAGTCTTACTAGTGTCAAGTTGTAGGCTTTTGTTTTTGGGATTTATTTTTTTTTTCCTTTAGGAGAAGCAGAGCTGCTGTTGCTTTTTCTTTTTCCATTCAAATTTTCCTTTAAAAATCCTATTGCACCGTACTTGTCCGTACGTCCACGGTGTGTTGTGTTGCTTGTTACCTTACCTGTAATTTACTTCTTCAGGTTACCCAGTGCTGGCTCCTGCTGCTTACTACGACCAAACAGGTGCTCTGGTGGTGAACGCAGGGGCCAGGAATGGCCTGGGGGCCCCTGTCCGGCTGGTAGCCCCTGCCCCAGTCATCATCAGCTCCTCCGCGGCGCAAGCAGGTGAGTCCCAGTCCCGCCAAGCAAAAACCTGTTCCGTCCCCGGCAGCGGGTGGACCTGAAATCCTCTGGGATCTGCTGGCGATGATGACACACTTGCCCTCACTGAGATCCGTTGCAGGGATTGTTGTTGAGAACAACCTCTGTGCTCACTGTGGGCTGAGCCTCCAGAGCAGCCTCAGAGAGGTAGCATTGCATAAATTCTGTTATTTTACCCGGTTTCATGACAGTTATTTAAATTTGTCTGCTGGCATCTAGTTTCCCACGTAATAAAAGCTTTTAGCCTGTGTAGAACTCCCAAATGATCACCTTGCTTGCGTAAAACATTACATGCCTGGCCTTTGTCATGAGTTTTTTAGGTTTTATTAGGGTTCTTTGGGAGTTCAAGGCTTTAAAAGGACTTTTTCAGCCAGAATCTGTGCGTGGAAGCGGTCTTTGCCAGTGTTAGTAACAGATTATGAAATGGGCCTTTTAATTGTTTCCTTGTAGCTCTTGTTTATTTTCCTTTTTCTTTTACTTTGAAACTGGCTGAAAAACAAAAGTACTTGGCTTTGATGTTCTTAGCACCGCAGGATTGCGTTTCGTGCACTAAAGGACAATTTTGCTTGTTTCAAAACTTGGGGTTTTTAATTGGATATTGCTAAATGTGTGGCTGTATCGACTTGAATCTTAGATCTTAGGAGAAAGGGAACGTTTTTGTGTGTTTGATCTGCAGAGCTCTAATAACACAAACAGCAGCAATAACTAGGCATTGTTGGTATTCAGTGGCTCTGTGCAAGACTTGTGGAGCTCCAATACAAAGTAAAGAGACTTTATGCAGAGTTTGATGTGAGAGATTTTCACCCTGAGAGGAAAGAAAAAAAAAAAAATCTATAGTAAATAAAAGGAAACGAAGTTTTAACTTCCAAAACTGCTACGAAAATGGATTTTTCAATCTGTGCTTCCAATTACTCTCTCTCCAGCGGTTGCAGCGGCTGCAGCTTCGGCCAACGGTGCAGCGGGTGGCCTGGCGGGAACGACAAACGGACCATTTCGCCCTCTGGGAACTCAGCAGCCCCAACCCCAGCCCCAGCAGCAGCCCACCAACAACCTGGCATCCAGCTCGTTTTACGGCAACAACTCTCTCAGCAGCAATTCCCAGAGCAGCTCGCTCTTTTCTCAGGGCTCTGCCCAGCCTGCCAACACTTCCCTGGGATTCGGAAGCAGCAGCTCTCTCGGTGCCACGCTGGGGTCTGCGCTGGGAGGATTTGGGACAGCAGGTAAGAACAGCAGCTTCTTCGTGGAGAAAAAGGAGAGAAGCAGATAGCTCCAGATGCAACCAGTGAGCTGCTGGAGCTGGTGCACCGAGCTGCTGAGCCCTCCTCTTCATCAGTCTGAGGTTAAATGGAAGTTTTTCTTTTTCTCTCAAAGGGATCTTTGAGGTGCCTTCCAACCCAAACCGTTCTCTGATTCTGTGGTTCCTTAGAGACTGCTTTGACTTGCAAAATCTGCAGCACTTTCTGGTGAAGCTTCCTTTAGTAGATGATATATTAGAAGTACCAAAGTAATGGGTTTGCTTTGCTGTACACACTATCAGTTGTCCCCTTGTTGCTACAGATTAGGTTTTTAAACAGCTTTGGGTTTCCTTGCCTTCACTTGCATGTGCTTGCTGGAGATACTGGACTAACAGGAATTGGCTCCAGAGTGGTATCCATCCTGTGCTAACCCTTACCTCAGAATAACGACTAAGTAACTTTTCATAATTTAAAAAGAGCTGATCTGAGGTGGTTTCCATGCTTTGTTCTGGGAACTGTTTCAATCCTACACCAAAAAAAGTCACTTACTGTGGTTGCAAGAAGTGTTACGTACATGGTTTGGTTTGATTTCTTTGTTAGGCAACTGGGGACAAAGATTTTATTTTTTTTTCAGAATAAAACCAAACTAGAAAGATGTCTGTGGGTTGGGTTTTTTTCCTTAGATCTGGGTTTTTTTTTTTAAGTAAAACAATTGGTTTAATTACTGCTTAGTCTCAGAGGTAGTAATTATGTCCTGAACTTTCCTGCTTTCATCAGCATGAAGGGCAAGTTAAAACATGCCTTTTGAACCTGCTCCATCAGAAAAGACTGAGGGACATACTGTCACTGCATTAAATCACAGTTTTAAATAAAATTTATTCTAAATATTTTTCTTAAATCCAGCCTGAGAATTTGAACCATCTTGGGTTCAGGTAAACATAGCATTCGCTTCTTTCACTTCAGTTTATTTAACTAATTGAATTCAATTACTAGTTTGCTCAGTGCCAAGATGCACAAACTTGTTTTCCCTCAATCAATGAATAGAAATGTGAGGGTGTTGCTTCTAGAACTTGTGTGCAGCCATGAAAAACGATTAGTTCATTACAGTTAACAGTTTCACTATTTATTAAACAAGATTTTAATGCAAAATTGATTTTTTTCCCTCAAGTTGGCAGTGCGTTTAAAGAGGTTTGTATTTGACTAGCAAGACAACTCTTCAAAAAAACGTGGGGTTTATGTGTTAAATTGAATTCTGATTTCCATCTCAATAAAGCTTGGTGCAAACAGGAGCTGTTTTCTAATATAATGAAAGGTGAGCACAAGGATTTTCAAGTAAATGTACAAGAAGCTGTACGTGCTCTTAAGTAAACACGACTAGATAAAATCTCGTGTTGGGTTTGGTTTAGCTCTAATGGCCAAAGAATAAATATGAGGCAATGCTTGTAGGGTGATCTAATATCTTCTGTTAAACCAAGTCATGTGCTTAGGGGAGAAGAACTTTGAAGTAGACCAGCCTTCCTCTGAAGGTTCAGAAGCAAAGCATTAAGCATTTGTGTCCAAAAGCCAGAGTGTTCGCTGTCGTGTCATTCTGTCACTTCCTTTAGGCAGATTTTTATCTCCTTGATCTTTCTGCTTGTAGATTTTTGGAGCTGTATTTCTCGATGTGTTCTGTCGGTAAAAACTACAAAACTATAAAGGCGAAGACAGGATTCAAGCTAATTTTGTACATCGAGGAATTCTGCTTGGTCATGAACAACATGGTTTTAATTAACGCATTTCCTTTGGGCACGTGCAACACCCTTGGGAAAACAGCAGCCTGGTGCAATGGAGTTGTTAATAGGTGCCGTTGTGCTGGCTCTCCAGTACAGCTTGTCTCGGGCAGCTGGCGGACATCACACAATTTTACTCTCTCCCTCTTTTCAGTTGCTAACTCCAACACGGGCAGTGGCTCCCGCCGAGACTCCCTTACAGGGAGCAGTGACCTGTACAAGAGGACATCCAGCAGTTTGACACCTATAGGACACAGTTTTTATAATGGCCTTGGGTTTTCCTCCTCTCCTGGACCTGTGGGAATGCCTCTGCCCAGCCAAGGACCTGGCCACTCTCAGACTCCACCACCTTCCTTATCTTCACACGGATCATCTTCAAGTTTAAACCTGGGTAAGAGCCACAGTGCCACTGTCCCAGTGCTGCAGATTCCTGCTCTGCTCTCCCTTTGTGCAGAGCTGTGAACACCCCACAGCTGGGTAGGTGAGATACCTGCTGCCTAGTTGCTGCTCTTATTCCTTATTTCTTATTCATTTCCTTCCAGTACCTAAAGGGGCTTCAAGAATACTGGAGAGGGGCTTTGGACAAGGGTGTGGAGTGACAGGACACGGGGCAATGGCTTTAAACTGAAAGAGGGGAGATTTCGATGGGATCTAAGGAAGAAATTCTTCTCTCTGAGGGTGGTGAGGCACTGGACCAGGTTTCCCAGAGAAGTTGTGGCTGCCCCATCCCTGGAAGTGTTCAAGGCCAGGTTGGATGGGGCTTTGGGCAACCTGGTGTAGTGGAGGGTGTCCCTGCCCATGGCAGGGGGGTTGGAACTGGATGGTCTTGAAGGTCCCTTCCAACCCAAACTGTTCTGTGATTCCTGTGGCAGAGTCCGTGCTTTTGCAGAAGTAGGTGAAACACTGAAGCTGGAGTTGTAGCACCTAGAGTTATGTGTTTTATCTCTTGCAGCAGTTCAGCTGTTAAACAGGAAGATTTCTGTATTGCCTCCTTGTTCCTCCTCTCTAAATCATGGATAACATTTCCAAGTGTTTGAAAAACAAACTGGTTTTCTTACGCAGATCTTGGTAACAGCACCAATTGTTTGCTATACTTGAATAAAACAGATGTGTAGGGCTGATCCTTAAACTTGTCAGATGTTTTAAAATACCCGCTACGTTTTCAATAATAAATTAATGAGCTTACAATACAGTTTCTTCTTTTAAGCAAAATATGCAGTGTTATCTGGAGCAGTACTTGGCTTTTAGCTGAGGGTTTTGTGAGTTTGCTTTGGAAAATTTGCCATCAGTGTGGCCTTACCAAAAGCGCATTAGGGCATGGGAGAGGCTTTCTTAATTTTGACATGATACATGACTTTATGCAAGCTACATCTTCTGCTACAGCTTCTGGTTGGCCTTGAGCTCATAGATAGAATAAAGTAAATATTTCAAATAAATAAAGCAAACATTAAATAATAATGCAGTGCTCATCTGAGCTTCCTGAAGTGTTCATTTCCAGCCCTCATAAAAAAACAAGATAGGTTAATTGTTGCATCTGCACGGGATCATTTAGTACTTGCTCAAAAAAACCACTTTGTTTCTGTCACGTATCTATTTGGCTTTAACAAAACTTCTGGTTATCAGAAGAGTTTTCCATACATATACGCACTCAACAAATACTGTATTTATCATGTTTATTACATGCATGTGTGATAAATTTGATGCTGGCTAAAGGTTAGCATGCAATAGTAATAAATACGATTTTTTGAGATCAAGTTTAGATTTACCATCTTTCCCTGTTCAGAGTGTTAATAGAATTGGAAGGGTTTTAGCTTTATTTATGCAGCTGTACAGTCCTCAAGCTGACAGTTAAATAGCTACAATAAATTAATGCTGAAGACTAACCAGATTCCAAATCTGGCACTGGAAAAAGTCTGTTGCCCCTGCGGGCAAACAAAAGAATGAATCTTAAAAACTGTATCAGAGGAAGCTTAATCTGTTGGAGAACAAACCCTGGCAAGAAAGAGGAGTTACCATTTCCATGAACGGGCTGTGCCCCAGAGCTGTTAGCGTGGATCCTCCCATCTTGACAAAATATTCCTCCTTGCAGCCAGGTTTCCTCCGTGGCTGACTTTATGCTTGATAGTGCTGCAAGAAAAATCTCATATAGAATAGCTCTGCATTTGTGTGGTTTTCACCTTGAAATCCACAAAAGGTCATTGTATTTTTTTAAGTTTCTCTTTCACCTGTAGTGGGAGACAGTGTTAAATGTAGTTTCCTTTGGTTATAAAACAAGTTTTAATGCTATAAAAACAGCACAGGCATTGGTTTTCCTTACAAGAAGCTTGAGGCTGACTCCTTTTTTTATTTGGGAGTGATGTCAGAAGTAGTTTGTGATAAAGAGGACGAGGAGTATTTCTAAATATCTAAAAATGAAAGGACAGATGGGAACACCCAAACGTGTGGTTTGCAAAAAGGAAAACTAGAGCAGTTGGGTTTAGGACCATGTCCTACCACCGTGTTACATGGGAGTAGACAACCCGGGGGAGTCGCTTCATGTAACTTTGATTTCAGGGTTACACAGTGATGTAAGTTGATGTTCAATCTGCCTTGCCACCAGCAGATCTATGGTTAAATGCAGTGTAAGTTGTGGGTTTGACTTTGTCACGTCTCATGGATGCACCAGTCAGTCGTTTGTTGGGTTAGTGTTGGGTGTAAAGATTCAGCTCCGGCTCTTCTGGCCTTCTAAAAACTCATAGCTGTGAAAAATGGTGTGTGTTTATCAAGCTGGGTTTTTTCTGGTGTTGCAAAGTGACCTTGTGAAGTGTCTGGGCGATGGCGAGTACCTGCAATAACCACGCAGCCAGTTCTTACGGAAGGAGCTGCTGGAGGAGGAAGGCTGAGCTAAATACTGGCTTTGAACTCAAAGGTACATGCAGCATGGGCAACTGCGCCTAGCTGGGATAAAGCAGCTGGACATACATAGCCACTTTTGGGTGCCAAAGGCAGCAGAGGCCCTCTTCTTCCTCAGTATTGATCAAAATTACAGAATTATAATTACTAAATACATTATTTATGTATTTTTTAATTATAAAATTTAATTTTGGCCAGGCTACGCTTCACATCAGTTCATGTAGACCCACGGGCAGCTTGTGTCAGCCCGTGTGTGTGTAGCTGACACGGTCCCAATAGAAGCACGTACCACGCTGCAGCTGGGGCTGAAGGTGTCCGGCTCTGGGTTTTCCCAGTTTGGAATGGCGATCAGGTTCTGCAGCGGATAATTATTCTAATTTTATGGTATGCTTGCGAGAGAGCTGCCCCACACTGTAGTCAGTCTGTAATTTAGAAGGGGAGGCTGTTGGCTCCTCCACTGCCCAGCCCTGGAGGCAGCGTGGGGTCCCCTTGGTGGGTGCCTCTGCGCTGAGCCCTGCGTAGGGGAGAGCAGCAGGGACATCTTCTCCGCCTGATTTCTCACCGAGACGTCTCTTCATCTTCCTTTTTTTCTCCATTGTTCTGGCATTTCTCATACCGGGAGCTCCTGCGTTGCAGAGCAATTCGAGGGCCTTGTAAAAGTCCCCTGGCAGCTTGCTCAAGAAGTGCTTTGTTTTCACACAGCAGCCTTGGCGTTTCTTCCGCTGTATTATTTTCTTTTTTCACTCATCCTCCCATTGTCCTTTTCTTTCTTCGCAATCAGTAATTCTTTCAGGTTAACGTCTGTCTCAAGTGTCCCAGCGAGCGCTGAGAAGATGACTTACCATTTCAAAATAGAGAATGGTCAGTTATAACGGCCGTGGTGTCTGCCTTGGAGTCCCCAGGATAGAATCCGTGCACTTTGTCGTCGCCAGATACGGATTTTTCCTGACATATCCCAGACACTTTTAAGAAAATATGGTCAGTATGTTCAGAGGCAGACCACACCACAGCTGTGACTTCTATACAACCTCCACGTACTGCACACAGCACTGGTTTGCTGTGGTATGTCAGCGCAGAGTGCTTTGCATGGGCAGTGTGGTGTGAGCACGGTAAGATGTCTCCATGTGATTTGCAGATCCCCTTTTTGACGTTTGTTCTGGCTGAGGATGCAGAAGAAATGATCAGTGCCAACATCTTGCGAGAGTCCTGTCCCTTTCTTTGGGGTTTTTGCCACTTTATTCTACTCTGGTGTCCCTAAGAGCTTCAGAAGCTTCCAGCCTCCGTGTGCTGCTCTTGAACAAGGAGCTGTTTGGTTGCAGTTATTGGTAAGATCCCATTGAAGTCTGGGATCTGACAAAGTCGCTGTGTTCCCAGCCGTACGTTGGCATAAAGGAGCATGAGGTGCTCCCAGGTTTCTGGCCTTTGGATGTTGACAGGTGTGTTTCAGAAGCGCTTGATTTAGCAAACTTGTTCCCAACGTGATCTCTTAATTCCCAGTATGATATGGAACATCATGGGGAGACCTGCAGTCAGCATCTCCATCAGAAGAAAGAGAGAGGGGTAGAAAACTGGAGTGAGTTGTGGTTTATTTTGAGTCTCCAGAAAGGTCAGAAGGTTTTTCTCAGAAAACCTCTGGCAGAGAAGACTTTTTCTGTGCAAACCGTGCTTTCCCTCTTCACTCCGAGATAAGGCATAGGTGATAACAGTGAGTGCTAAACCCTTTCCTCTCACAGCGGTTGCAGATGATCAGGATCTAGTTTTCCACTTCAGTGGGTTGATGCTATGACTCTCACTTGCTCCAGGCTTTCAGAAACCAAGTGGTAATTCTGAGCTCTTGGAATGCCACGGAAAAACGTCGGTATGCCATTGCTCAGCTTGTTGCTGTTGGGTTTCCTTTACCTGAGAGGTGATCTACTGTTCCTTTGAATATCGTGGTCCTTCCAGCAGTAAGGAATAACACTTGGTTGCTTTTTGGAGTTCTTGCTCAATTCGAAAGTCGGGTCGATAGAGAAGGTGATGGCCACACCCTTGGCAAGGCAGGGTAAGAAAGATGTGAACAAGAAGCTCTCAAGTCTCCTTCTCCTCAAGGTTTGGCACCAGCTCCGGAGAAGTCAAAACACTTCAGACACTGAGTCTGCTCAGCTCAGAGACAGGGGAACTTATTAGATTGTTATCAGATACTTAATTCTCATATTGTGTTTCCTGCACGGGAGCTTCCTTCAGGCACTGATGGCAGAGGAGTGCAGTTCACTCAACCTTTTTTTTTTTTATTTGATATTTTTATTTCAGACACTGCCACTTGCACAGCTGCCTGGAGAAGGTCTGTCCTCTTTGCTGACAGCCCTGCTGATGTTTACCTTGAAGGTCTTCCCTCCTTTGCAAAGACTTCTTGTGACTTTTTTTTTTTTTTTTAATTTTCCTAGGTGCTTTGGCCTCGCTGCTTCGTGTCGGCTTTTTCAGGTGGCAGCTTCTCGTGCAATACGAACCTTTTTCTTGGGAGGACTTTCTTCCACCCAGGAAAAACCAAACTCGCTCAAGGCACCTTTTGGTCCATGACCAGCAGAGGGATCCCGAGCCCTGCGAGAAAGGGAAGGGTCCTCTGCCACCTCGTTGCAGCAAATGTTGGGAAATTCCGGGCAGGAAAACAGCATTTAAAGGCTTAAGTGGGTTCCTATCAACGCTTGCAGTGCGCTAACTATATGATGAAGTGTTACCTGGTCCCCATACCTGTTTCTCAGTAACTTGGCGGCTGCCTTAACGTGGATGGAAGTGTTTAGAGCAGCACAGGATTATTTGTTTTTAAAGAGAGTTGGGGCTGTTCAGCCTGGAGAAGAGAAGGCTTCGGGGTGATCTTATTGCAGCGTTCCAGTACCTAAAGGGGGCCTACAGGAAAGCTGGAGAGGGATTTTTTACAAGGGTGTGTAGTGACAGGACACGGGGCAATGGCTTTGAACTGAAAGAGAGGAGATTTCAGTGGGATCTAAGGAAGAAATTCTTCCCTCTGAGGGTGGTGAGGCACTGGACCAGGTTGCCCAGAGAAGCTGTGGCTGCCCCATCCCTGGAAGTGTTCAAGGCCAGGTTGGATGGGGCTTTGAGCAACCTGGTGTAGTGGAGGGTGTCCCTGCCCATGGCAGGGGGGTTGGAACTGGATAGTCTTTGAGATCCCTTCCAACCCAAACCATTCTGTGATTCTATGATTTATTGGTTTTAATTTATTGTTATTTACCTGTATTTAGTAGCGATTCAGTTTTTATATCCAAAATTTTTGTACTTGCTGCCTTTTCCTTATCTAATTTTGTCTTAATTCTCTCCCCACCCTCAGTATGCTTCTTTTAAATCAGACCTTTGCATGGCAGCAGGATAGGTGGAAAAAAAAACTGCGGATGAAGGATAAGGTAATTAGAAACAGCAGGTTAGCAAGCGGTGGGATTGACAATTCTTCTATTTAAGACAGTTTCGACACAGAGTGAGGAACAGAAGTTGTTACAGTCTGTTCTTTGCTGAATCTGTCGCTGATCTTGACAATGCAACGGTGCCATGCCATGAAACTGCGCTTGAACGTGTCCCCATCGAAATTATTTTGGGGGCAGTTCACTTAGCTGAGCTGAGACTACTTCCGAGTCGAACTGTGTCAGAAACCCGTCTCGGTGGAAAAGCAGTAACTGGAAGCAAACCAGCATGCCCAGGTTGTAAATTAATCCCTCGGTCGCTTGATTTCTCCTTGTGAAATACCCTCGTTTTTGTGGCTTGCAGGAGGGCTCACGAATGGCAGCGGCCGTTACA